TTGCCTAGAGTGAAAGGATGGAAATAACTTCTCCACATCCGTCTCATGGTAATACTGCATGTGCTAACATTCAGGTGCTACAGTGAAGAGATTCACACTTTTAACCTTGTGTGGGATCACACCTGACAAATTATTGCTTACAGAAGTCCTCTTTTTTTATTAGTGCATTTTTAACCGATATTTTAAATTAATTTTATTCACACTGTGTGAAGCAAAATGATCCCTTCTGATTGTTAAATGAAATCTGAAATAGTAATTTTGTTCTGTAATCCCATTCTCTGATGTCAGCGTGATGTTACTTCTTCAGTCTTGGTTCTTTTTTTTGTGTTCAGAAGTTTTTCCTTGATATTTTAGGTCTCCATTTGCTCATTAGGTTTTAGTCCATCTGCTTAGTGACTGTAGTGACTAAGCAAAATATACAAGAAAATCTGAAGTGAATTGAATTCAGTCTTGGACCTGCTGTATCTCCCCTTATCAGGACTGATCATCCACCTGCATTGAACCATCAGTCTCTCTACGTGAAGGTTCCTCTGTTGGAATCATTGATTAATTGTCTGAAATGGAAGCACACATAGTTACTTCTTAGTGAGGCAGTTACACCAGGTTTATGTTCCAAAATAAATCAAATCACCATGAAACAAGGGGATCTTAACATCATCCAGATCCCTGAGGAAGATGTGCTTAATCTGAACGCTTTCAGTGCCCAAGATTTTTCATTGGGCAAAATTGATAAGCTGATTAAGTACCTCCGGCCCTGGGACATGCAGTTGTGTCACAGGTCTAAACTGCCCGTGACATCCTCAGTTAAACCTTTTCCCATTGATATTCACCTCATTGCTCTTTGTGCTCACGGAACAGTCTGGTGCTGGCCAGTCAGCTTCAGTGATCGCATAATTAGGTGGACTGTGTTATTAACGCATTTTATCTCTTCATTTTCCTTCGTTTGCCAGGCATGAGGACACAGAGGCGTCCATCTGCCGCATTCTAATTTTGCAAATTACCTGGTTATTAGTGGAGAGACAGTTAGTTAAGAGAGAAAACACTTGCTTTTGTCTGCATGTTTTTGCTATTACCTGTTAGAAGGAAAAAAAATGGTATTTGAAATATGCACATGTGAGAGGGTGGTTATGAAATGTCCCCTCTGGGGAGACAGTTGACTGGGGAGAAAGCAAGCAAACAGGAATGGCGTAAACTCTGTGCTGGGGGAATGCCACAGAGGTCTAATTGATTTGGTGTGTGCCATGCTTCAAGTGTGTGTGTGTGTGTGTGTGTGTCGTTAAGGAGGAGAACAGAGGACTAAACATTACACGCCAAGAGGAGCAAGGCTTTATAGTCAGTGGGTGGGGTCCTATCAACACTTTCTCTCTCTGTCTCCTTCTTAGAGAAGGGGTGTCACCACAGTGGTTGAGACTATCCCTCACCACACCCTTCGGGTCCAGACAGAGCCACCGTGACTGAGGAATCAGCTGTTGTCTTTGTGGAAGAACTGATGCACAGATTTTGGCTGTCTGACATTCTTTTAAATGTGATCTAAAAGCTTCAAAACTCCCGTACTTGACCTATATTTTAAAGCAGTGAAAGATCAACAGGGCTTGCTGGTTTTAGCTTTCCCCCAGCCCACTCTGCATAGAGCATTGGTGGCCCTCTTCTGATTGATGAATGCCCCAGGATAGAAGCAGCAAGCCTTCAACGTGGGCTGCCTCAGAAAGAGTCCAAGCTTCTAATGACAGAATCACCGGCTTTGCTCCCTCAGCACCAGAGCCCACACACCCGCTGTCCTGCAGTGCATTAATTCGATCAGTCAATTTGACCAAAAGTTCGAAAATGTTTGCCACATTAGAGTGTGTGTGCTGAGGGGATGGGCGGGGGAGTGCATGCAGAAGCCGTGTTAATAGCAAGGGCTTGTTGTCCATATGGTACTGCTTTAATGGACCACATTTGTTACAGATGGCAAGAGCCTCTGCGTTTGGACACGGGCAGATCTTGGCAGGTTCCCGGTGCCTCGTCGGAGCGGGAGGGAAAAAAAAAAGAGGGAGTGCGGAGCTTGTCTTTTAGCACTGATGTCGATCCTCTTCTCTTTTCTCATTCAGCAAACCATTGCCCTTGAAATGAGGCCTGTTCTAAATTTAAGACTTGCTTCTTTACCCGCTCACTCTCTCTCTCCTGCTTTTTTTTCCTTACATGTTGGGAGAAGAGCAAATACAATGTGGCTCAGTCACATTTTCCTCAACTTGGTGTCCAAACCGCACCTAACTCCCCATGCACAGCGCGCTTGTCTCCATTACCACAATGGGGCTTTCGGCAGCAGGCAGAAAGCTGAGGAAACATAGCAGCCAGAGAGAGAGAGAGAGAGAGAGAGAGAGAGAGAGAGAGAAGGAGGTAGGGAGAGAAAAGAGGGAGATGGAAAGAGAGAGAAGACTCAGGGACAATGATAGGGTCTCTTTTATTGAGTGAACCGTACACACACTCTTAAATGTAATGCTCAGCAGCTCAGGGTAGTTGTTCTATATGTCTGGTGTAAGCAGAGACCTGTATTCATTCTATAGACAGCGAGACAAGACATTACGGATCATAACCGTCTTTAGCAGTACCGACCAATCACATCATCAAGCTACCTGTAATAGCTGGTTGTCATAAAAGCTTCTATACATTCAGTCGTGTTGAATATGGACACGTTGCACATAATTCCAAACGCCCAAGCGTGTGAATGCACATTACTGTTCATTTCCTGTGAAATAGTCCACAGAGAGCACAAACCACACATCTCTTTTAGACTGCACTTAACCCGAGTCTCCTGTCTCTCTTCAGCGGGCGCTCTCGAAAATAGGCGGCCGCTGTCAGCTTGTGTGTGTTTTCGCTGTCTTCAGGCTGCCCTGCTAACAAAAGGAGAGAGGGTGAGGGAGAGTGAGTGTGTGAGATGTGTGTGTGTGTGTGTGTGTGTGTGTGTTTTTTTAACACTCCCTCCAAGCAGTGAGGAGACACGCTTGATTGGCTCGGTAGCGTTTTGACTGTTGTTTTCTCGCGTTGTCACTGCTGTGGCAGCAGTGGGAAGTATGGGCCCAGAAAGCGTGTGGCCTGACACCCCTCCCCTCCACGGCCCATTCTTACGTCCTGATCCACCTCCTCTTCCTCTCCCTCCTCAGACACCTGATTGTGAGAAAAGTCTCGGGCCGGGCCCAGCGGGCCTCACAGGTTTGCCGGCTTGCTAAGTGCTGGCCGGCCCGAAAGGCGGCGTGTCCTTGGGGTTCTCAGCTCTCGCTCTTTCCATTTTCTCACAGGGCTTTGTCTCTCTCCGTACAGCCAGAGAGAGAGAAGCAAACTCACAGACAGAGAGAAAGAGAATAAGACAGAGGAAAGGCAGGCGGGGAGAGACATGGGGCAAATTATGCCCATGTCATTGCAAGCTAAAGCATTTAGGACGCACAGCACTGGGTGTCTTTCTGCTCTGATGTGTCTTATTTATGGTGAGGACAGGGGTGAGGGAGTGGGGTGTAACAACATGAGAGATATCGCTAATTAGTTTCAGCACTTGGTGAATTTGGCTTCTGCAGCGTTGCATTTAAAGGCTAAAAAGCAGTTCTGGAAATGCACATTTCACATCTCCGGCTATTGGATGTGAGGGGGGGGGGTGAAAAGTGATTTAGATGTTGAGAGTTGTAACGTTATTACCATTACCAAGATTAATATATGGTAGAGAGTACTAAGATTTGACACCGTAGGACCCACTTAAAAGACTACTTTTTCTATTAGAGCCGTTCATATTCTCTCTTAAAACTACTTTTAGGTTGCTCACTGGACAGTTACATAGATTCTGTATATGTAATAATACAGGGTGATTCAAAAAGATTCATCCGATTTCAAAGTGCCATATTTTTACAACCGTGATGCGCCTAGGAACCAATCACATACCAATTGAAAGAGGGGGTCACAGAGTTTCTGACTGTCAGTGGAAGACGGCTCCCTTCAGTCTGAGAGGAGATGAGACCCCTGAGCAGAAAGTGTTCTGCGTTCTCCACTTCAATAAGAGTGAATCCGTCATAACTGTGCAACGTGATTTTTGTGGACAGCGAACCTCCAACAACTCAGAGCGTTCGTCGTTGGTTCCACAACACTGGATGATCTCCGAAATCACACTGAAAGAGCCGTGAGTGCAGTGACACCCAACATGCTCAATCAAGTATGGGATGAATTTGACTATGGCGTTGATGTTGTCCGTACAGCTGGAGGAGGTTCATATTGAGCACTTGTAAAATTACATAATAAACTTTATGCTCACCATTTACAGTTTATTGTTCTTTAATGATGTACAATAGATATGAAATAAATTATTTTGAAATCGGATTAATCTTTTTAAATCACCCTGTATGTGTAAATATATTGTTTGTATGTATCTGAAGGCCAATAAAAGAGACCGATGGAAAAGGCCCGAGTCCAGTTTTTATACACGTGCTCCCACATTTGCAGTGTGAGGGTTCTGAGCAGCCAAGCGACTTCTGTGGTGCGTGATGACATCATGACCACATCCTCCTCCCCCCTCAGAAATCTGCACGGCCCGACTGCGGGCCCGGCGTTGGCTCAGTGACGGCCCAGTGTGGGCCCCTGTGGTTGCGCTTCCAGAAGCTGCCGAGGCACCGTCACACATGGACGGCAGCTGGACCACCACGCGCTTCTCTTAGCAGAGCACAGGGAGGAGCACAGCCATACGATAACATATCATCAGCCTGAGGCTGGAAAACCATGTATGCTAATGACAAATGGCTGCTTTTCTGCAGAGAGATGGGGAATGGAGTTTTGGAGATGACCAGGGCCTTTGTTCTTCAATTCGGTTTCGGAGGATGAGAAATGTTCCTTTTGGAGGTTCTTTTTTTTCCACGCAGGACGTGTTGAATGTTTTTCTGTTTTCTCCCTTACTTTGTTACTGTTGTGTGCCAAGTTGCTATGCTTAAGTTGCTAAGCTTTGCTGAGTTACAATGGCTCTCTGTGTATTTCTCCTGCCACAGAACCCAAATGCTGAACATGGAGGGCTTTCTGCGTAGCAGCTTTTTACTGAGGTTAGTTGCTTTAGTTTCTCATGTTGTTGCCGCAGAGGTACTGGGGCAAAAACTCATCTGTCTTTTCACAGCTCCAGGATCATAACACCTAGCATTAGCTATGAAGCAGACTAGTGTTTGTGTGTGTGTGTGTGTGTATGTGTGTGTGTGTGTCTGCGCGCGCCGTTGTGTGTGTGAGTTCATGCTTGTGTAAGTGTTAGTTTAGACTCTCTTTGTGACCCCCGGCATGCTCACAGTGCTGCTTCAGAGCCAGTCAAACTGAAAGCATGTCCCCTTTCTCACAGTGTGTACCACCCCTAATTCAGTCACAGAGTGAAAGACGTGTTTCACTCCACATACTGCATGCACGTGTCTGTCACACTATCCCGCCCCTCGGCTCCCAGCCCCTCATCCCTCTCCCCTCACTACCTCGCCGTTAGGTCAGGTCAGCCGGGGTGGCGCTCAGTCTACGACTTTGACCATTTCCTGTTGTATGTTTGTGCTATAACCGCAAAATCAAAACCAGTCAGGTTGCTGCCCCCTCCTCTTCCCACCTTCCTGTGATTCTAATTAAGAATTTGTGCTTGTCATTACACAGAGGAAGTAAATAACAGCGAGTGTGTTAGCCATTGGGCTGTTTGTGCCATGCACCTTCCTCGCTCTTGAATTGCTAGTAGCAACCCTAATTAGCGATCTCTCATTAAAAGCAGTAGCAGCATCTGCCTTTCAAAGCTGTTGTCAGCCAAACTTTACTAAAGCTAATGAATCCCCTTTGATTCCTTTTTCAAAAGGTCATTTATTTGATTAAATTAACAGCATTTTTTTCCTCTGCTCTCTTCCCAATCTACTGGAATCCAGACAAAAGTAAAAACGTTATGCTGCAATGAATGCGACTTGATTTTTGAGGACTTTTTTTTTTTTACATCTGAAAGGCAATTGATCCCTGTATCGTAAGAAAATAGTTTCTTTTTAAGTAATGATTGCTTTTTTCCTTGAAGAATAGCCAGACGTTTTTCTCGTAACAAATTCAATATTCAGCTTCCTTTTGGTGTTGGCGTTTGTATTGTGTCTTAGTTATCATTCTTGACTTGCCTCTTATTTCAGCGTGTGCTAATCCTCTATAGACCGGCATATGGAGAGGTGATTAGTCTCAATAGCAGGCAGTGCAGCAGTGAACAGTTTGTCATTTGGAGAAGTGAAAGTGACTGCTTTATGAGCCTTTTGAAGACTACTGCTCTGGTTTGGCTTGACCCACTTACCCTGAGAGAGCTTCACAGGTGACGCTGGCTCCGAGCCCTTTGGCTCAGCCACAAAAAGCCAACAGCTTTTGTCCTAGGGCAGGCCCGGGTCATGAGCGCGGGGGTCTCCCTTGTGCATGTCCGACAAGTGACATATTGTATAATCTCAGCAGAGATGTTCAGGCTCAGGTATAAATTTATATTTGTTGTATGCAAGGTATTTATTGGCATACTTTGATTGGATTAACTCGGACAGGAGTCTGCATGTAGAATAAATGAAAGTTAAGAAGTTGTGTTTTTGAGGAACCACGGCGTTTGATGTAACCATCATGTATAAACTCTTAAGTCCACAGGGCTGCGTAACATTCGGCCTGTGTCAGCATTTGGCAGTCAGATCACTGCTGGAGTTCGGATTATAGTAAGCACAACGCCTTTATCTGTCCAACCTCTTTCTCTAATGCTGCAGAATGGGGGGGATTGCCTTTGACTCAGGCCACCTGTTGAAGGCCAAAGGAGTTGGAAGGGTAACTAGCTTTTGTAGAGGGGGGTGGGGACAGTGTCACCTCGTTGATGTATAACCGATCCTTCCACACCCTTCGAGCACACTCAGCCAGACATGTGCTAAACCACCAATCTCCCCATCGACAGAAAGCCTCCATAATAACCCTTCCTTTGTTCTTTTTTTCACCAAAGTCATTACTCGGTGAAGAACAAGTGTGATTAATTTGGAGTAAATGCATCATTACAGCTCCTTAATCCGCATCCTTCTGTCAGTGTCTGTTTTAATTAAATGAGAAGCGGCAGTATAAAGATATTACACGCAGGAGCGGATTGGACGAAAAGGGGCCTCAACAATCAGGGCGAGATTAAAGCCGTGCTTTGACTCTGGTTTCGCCTTTTTGCTCGGCCAGAGGAGGCAGTAGATCGGTAAGAACAAGTGTCAAGGAGTATGCAGTGGGTGTTTATTCACATATTACCTCACTGCCTCTTTTTAAGAAGCAAATGTGTTATAAGCTTCTGAGTAATTCTGCAAGTCCTCCGTTCCAATCTAGTGTGAAATTGTTTTAACCAGGATGTTTCGTGCTCTATCACTTTATCACTCATTTACTAAGTCATATTTAGTCAACACAGTTGTCATCGTTAGTGCTTAAGTCTCAAAGATGGGCCTTGAATTCAAAATGCCTGTGTCAGCTTTTTTACTCATCTTGAATAAACATGTTGAGGTGCAGTAAAAAGTAGTGCGAATTCTGCAGTAGAAGCGAATTTCAGCTGTATGTGCCTGAATATCAGCTGAATAACTACTGTTTCTTTGTACTGTCTTTCTACAGTAAAGAAATCTTTCATTTGTTTTGAACTCTCGAAATTCATGCAGCAGTTACATCTAACGGCAAAGATAGGCTGGTTTTTCTCCTTGGATGAATTACTCCTTAGTAACTACATCTTACAAATAAAGCCTGCTGCGTATCTCACTTATGTGCTTAAAAATTAAATGATCAGCACTGTTTGTGCGTGCATTTGAAAGAGAAAGGATCTGCTTGAGCATATGTGTGTGTGTGTGTCTGTGTGTCTGAGAGAGAAAGAGAGAAAGAGAGAGAGAGATGTCTCTAGCAGCCACAGTCCTAATCCCAGAGGAGAGGACCTCCTCCTCCATCCCTGCCATTATTTGATGTAATGAAAGGAGAAAGTGTGTAACAGCGAGATTGTTAATTAATTTAGTCTAACAAGATGAAGATAAATGAAGCCCACTGAAGGTTGACTAGGCAAAGGGGGCCCACTTAGCATTCTTTTTTCCCCTCCTGGCCTGGCTTAGCCTCACAAAGAAGCATATTTAAAAGAAACGAGATTAAACTTCTGTTCTCAGAGTAGCAGACACATGAAGATGCATATAAAGCCATGGATTTAAATCATTAACTGCATTCACATCACTGATCTCAGTTTTCACTCAGCTCTTACACTGGTACGATTAACGACCTAGATTTGGAAGCTTACAGTCTCCTAAGTTTTTAATGTGTTGTGATTTAATCGGACTTCGGCACGTCTGTACTCCCACTTGTTAGTTATTCATGCTCATGATTCATTGATATTATTCTCTATGGTTACTTATTTTGTTTATTGTCGTCACTCATGCCGTCTGCTTTTTTTTTTTTTCTCTCCAGAAAAGTAAAAGGAAAAGATCTTGCACTGTTTTGCTTGCAGAGTTGAGTTGAAGGTGTGAATGGTTAGATTATTTCAAAGCTAATCCTGTCCTCGTTAAGTACCCCGCACTGTTAAAAGCTGTTTGGGGATCAGTTTTGACTTTTTAACATAGCGTGACCCAGGCCGGTTTGAACATGAAAAGCCCTGATTCTAGATCAGTTCGAAGGCTACTGGCCAAGATCCTCCTGGCTCTGTCTCAGGGGCCACCTCATCCTCCTGCCCAAAAGATAGGCCTACACGCCTCTAGCCCATTCAGGCCGTGAATGGCGGTGGGCTAATGCGGATCGGTGGTTATTTGAGCGGCGAGAGGGAGAGAAAGCGAGGGAGAGAGGGGGCCTAGAACAAAAAGAAAAAGGGACATTTTTTTCCCCCTCAGAAAGCCAGACAGTTGTCTTCATCCACACCCCTTTTGAGAGAAGCAGCAGTCTATCAAGGACCTTCTCTGTCAGACAATTCAGTTTGGGCCCCGCATGGCGGAGCGGACCAATCATCATGGCACCCATTCTCCGCGCCTTTATTTTTCAAGTCGTCAACAATAGGTTGTTGATTGTGTGGACAACACTGGAACAATTACGCTCTCTGTTGTGGTGGCAGGGCAGCAATCTAATGTCCGCTGCTCGATAATGGCCTCATTCTTGTTATTCTTAGTGCAGGGCCTCAGGAGAAGGAATACTTGTTCCTGGTACGTCATTATTTTGCAAATTTTCGATTAGCTCATCATGTCGTCTGCGCAGCTCAAATCATAGCTAATTAGAAGGAGGGAGCTTCACCACTGGCTCCATCTAGCTCCTGAGTTAAAAGGTAGGCACTTGATGAGCCAATAATATAAAGAAAGGTGGTAAAAAGGGGGATTAGCGCTGTTGCCGTAGTAACTCCAACTTCCATCTGCGAGGGGAACAATGGACTTGTGTTCGTCCACCACCTTGGCTTGAAAAAAAAATAGGAGAGCGGGAGAGAACGAGAGGGAGAGAGCTGAAAGGACAAGACCCTTTTTAACAACAAAGTGGAATCCTGGCCTAATAGGCTCTTTGCTGGGAGTTGTTAGGCAAGGCCGCTGGGGGATAGAGGGGGACGCAGAGGTCACGGCATAATCCAAGGACAGCAAAGGTCGACATCTTCTTTTACAATAGCAGTTTGTTTTGGGCCTACCATTTGTACATTGCTGTCACATCGACATGGAACATACAGCTAGGCTCCTGTTCACGTTCACTGGAGAGAAGGAGGAAAGAAGAAGTGAGAAGGAGGAAAAGGAGTAGTGATGCAGTTCAGTGAGCAAGAGAAAAAAGAGCCACCACATGGCCAAAACCTACTTGTTCCTAACTGACTTTACATAAACACAAACTAGATTTATGCCAGAGATCTGGAGGAAAAATAATTCCTTCAGTTAGATGGAGCTGTCCGATGCTATTTGGACAGGCTCCAGAGTTTTCCATCCCAGCTCCCTGAACTGGGGATGAGAAGGGAGAGAGAGAGGGGAGAGAAGATGGGTTTCCATGCTTCTTCTTTGGTTTTTGGCACCTTATGCACCGACACCGATAACCAGGAGTGAAGCAGATTTGCCTACTTGCTTATATACCCCCAACTCCT